GCCTGCCCCTTGCCCCGCCGCCGGGGACGGTGGCCGCCAGGCGCCGGGAGGCGCAAGACTGGGCCATGGAGCAAGGGGAGGCAGCTGCACCGGTGACCGAGGAGAGGAGTGGGGAGGAGGAGGATGACTTCGGCTACAGGCTCTTCCCCGACCGGGACAAGAAGCCGCAGAGCTTCCTGGCCCGCAGCCTCTTCACCTTCCACAACAGGTGTCAGCTGATGCTGAGGATGACCCTGGAAACGAGTAAGCGCCTCTCCGGCGGACGCGGGCCCGGCGCAGCGGAGGGCTCCCTGAGTGGAACCGGCAACGCCCGTGTCCTCCGCTGGAGCGGCCTGGCGACGACGGTGACCTTGGACTGCAGGGTCTCAGGGCGGGAGCTGCTCTCCTTACGCTGTCTCTGCCCTCTCTGCTGCGGCTGGACGGGGTCCTCGCAGGCGGTGGGGTGGGGCTGCTGACCGAAGGACACGCTGATTTTTGGTTAAGACAACAAAAATACAGTTTCAAAAGTGTCTGTGTCCTTTTTTTTCCCCCTATCAGAAAGTCCTTATCTACTTCTTCCTCTTGAGAATTTGAGAGGATTTGTCGATTTCTAGTTTATTTGTGCCCTTTTCACTATGCGATGTTGACTGTGAATATTACTGAAAGCAATGGTCACTATAGGCCACTCTACTTAGGTCTACTACTACTAAAATAACATCAGAAGTTACTTGATTCCCAATATATACAAAAGCTTTGTATATCTCACAATTCTATGTCATGATTCTATATCATTTTATATAGCATGACCTGTAGCAGATGCCAGTTGTATTGCATTAGGGTTAAATACTGCAAAGCATGAATTTGCATGTAGTGCTTTTCCCTTTTTTTCTTTAACTGTGTATTTTGATTGTAGATTACTTTCAAAACTTTTGTCTAGAGAAATTGATTGCAGCAATGTTTTTCTAGATCCGTATGCGCAACTTCTTCTTGAGGCTATGAAGCAATCTGGTTGGTATGTAAACTAATTCATCTTGTTCTGTGTAGTAACATCTCTGTTATATGGAGTTACTGGTCTTTTTCAAATTCTTCCTTATAACTTTGCTTGTTTGGATCTTTCAGCACTGTCTTCAATGACCGACACTTTTCTTGTGAAAACTGTGATGGCTGTGTCAGTGGAGGTTTTGATTCTGCCACATCTCAGGTAGGCACTGGACATTGTCCTTCTTCAAAGGACTACAATTTTTTAAAATATTTTTTGCTAGGATTAAGTCTACTAATGTTGATATCTAAGTTAAAGTCATGAAAACAAGATAAATGAAAGGTGTTCCATGGCACTGGAACTAATATGCTGTAGAGTGATGAGGCCGTTAATGTTGAAATACACATCTAAAGAATCTAAATGCTGTACATGATGTGTGCTGGGTCTCTGAGAAGTAAGGGAGGTATTGAAACTTGGTGAAAAGACTACCTATATCTTTTCTTCTACAGATTGTTCTGTGTCAGAACAACATTCGCCAGCAAGCCCATATGAACCGTGTGGTTGCACATGAATTGATTCATGCTTTTGATCACTGCCGTGCACATGTTGACTGGTTTAAAAATGTCAAACACTTAGCATGTTCAGAGGTAAGTTAAAACTCTTCCTAATGTTGTAATTTTATTAATTACTGCTGGTTATTGGGGATGTTTCATGTTTAAATAAGCATGCTGTTAGATATACTTCATTTGGTTTAATCCTGTTCATACATTTTGTCCTTTCTGTCAGGTCAATCTAAATAGTTCACTGAGAAAAACAAATGTTTAGTTTTTACAAATATTAGTAAGTCAGTGTCATATTAAGTAGAATGAAATAATTGTGAGTGTCACCATAACAAGAAGTGGTTTTTAGGAAATGAGAGTAGTTAGAGATGAAAAAATATCCACATGTTAATCAAACGTTTATGAGGTTCTTTTTCTCCCTTGCAAATCTTGGTGTGTTAGGTAGTTACCACAGTAGTATGGTAACCTTGTGTTTGTTTAGAATTTTTTGGTTAACAACAAATTTGTATTTTCTTATACATTTTTGATTAATTGTGATGTTGCTAATAGTATGCTTTAGTTATGACTCCACGTCCATTTCAGAGGACATAGGATTTTGTTGCTTGAAAGGCCTTAAAAACTGAGGCATTAGGAGATGGAATTAAACTGAGCACAGGCCAGGAAGGATTCCTCTTGTCTACATTACTCGCGTATATTAGCATGCTTTTAGTTGATTTCTGATGTAATACGTAGCACTTAACCACAGGAAAACTTACCCTATGAAAGTACATTTTTGTGACTCTGAATTAAGTGGCTTTTTAACTGTTTGGGTTTTTTTGAATATATAAAATTATATAAAAATGTTATAATGCCTTTTTTTGGTGGGTTTTTTGGTTGTGGGTTGGTTTGCTTGTTTCTAATGAGAACATATTTGATTCTAGACTTAAGAAGAGCACAAGTTTTACCTAAAAACAGTATATGAGAGAACCAACATGATGAGTTTGGTACAGAACAAACCAGGTTTCATAAAAATTAATTTTAATTCATTAATTGAATTAATATTTGCTGTGGAAGAGAGTCACAGTCATGTATTATCTTTATCTTTTTATAGATAAAACTTAATGAAGTAACCTTACGTGGTATTAGGAAAGCCATTCTGTATACCTGGGGGGGTTGTCCTTGGCTGGCTGCCAAGCACCCACCAAGCCATTCTCCAATTCCCCCTCCTCAGTAGGACAGGGGAGAAAAATAAAAGTCTTATGGATCAAAATAAGGACATGGAGGTCATCCAGCAGTTACCATCATGGGCAAAATGCACTTGTGGGGAAGATTAGTTTAATTTATTGCCTATTAGTGGCAGTAGACACAGTAAAAATACCCTTTCCCCCCACCTCTGCTGCTTTCCTGGCTCAATTTTGCTCCTTCATTCCTGGCTCTTCTGTCTGCTCTCCCTCAAAGTGTCATGGGGAGGTGGGAAATGAGGGCTGCAGTCAGTTCATAACACTTTATCTCTGCTGCTCCTTCCTCCTCACACTGTTCCCCTGTCCCAGTGTAAGGTCCCTTCCACAAGATACAGTCCTTGATGAACTCCAATGTGGGTCTTTCCCATGGGCTGCTGTTCTTCAAGACCTGGTGCAGCTTGGGTCCTTTCCACAGCGTACAGTCTTTCAGGAATGGGCTGCTCCAGCATGCATTCCCCCACTGGCCACATTTCCTGCCAGAAAACCTGTTCCTACCTGGCTACTCCATGGGCTGCAACTTCTTTCAGGGCATGTCCATCTGCTCTGGTGTGTAGTCTTCCTCAGACTGGAGTGTGGGTATCTGCTCCACTGTGTTCCTTCACAGGCTGCAGGGAGACAACCTGTGTCACTGTGGTCTTCTCCATCTATTTGTCAGTATTTTTTTGTCTAAGCATTTACAGAGTGCAGAATAGAGCATGTAAGCCTCAAACAAAATTAGAGAACATACATGAAACAAGATTGTGCTTGTTCTTGCTCTTGTTGGGATTATTTGTTTGCTTCTGGTCTCTTGATACTTATTTTATTATATGATGTTTATAATTTTCATTTTCAGCTTTTTCATTCTTACATTTCATATTTTCCATGCATTTATTCTCATTCTGGTACTCGGTTATAGCAAATCTAGTTTTTCTTACATTTCCTAACTGAGGGCATAGAGTGTGGAACAGGACAAGACAGTTAACAAGCTAAAACATACATACTTGTTTAAATGTGACTTCTCCTAAAGCAGGTGGGTTACTGCTCTTCTGGATATTGCAGCTGTAGTCTTTGAAAGGTATCTGCCTTTTCTCCTGACTCTTTTTATCAGCTTCTGATATAGACTGGGCACAATACTAGTTTCCATGGTTTTTCAGCAGTTCATATATGTGTGTATACACACACATATATATGATCTCTTCCGCTCATTCCTTTAGCGGGAAATTTACAAGTTGTATAGTAATAATTTGCAGATCATTGAGGCTCAGAGGGGAGATATAAAGGGTAATGTGTACTCAATAATTAGAAGTGGTCCTGGAGATATTCCATACTAGCAGTCACCAGAAAGATATTGAAGAAAAAGATCTGGTTTTCTATCTTTGTCCATGTATTTCTCTGATCATGTGGCTTTTTTTTTTCCTCAACAGATTCGTGCTGCTAATCTCAGTGGAGACTGTACAGTGATGAATGAAATAGCCAGGTTTAAGTTTGGATTGAAAGGACACCATCAGGTAAAGACTGCAGATGTTAAAGTCTGCTGATGTTATGAGCCGTCTTTGCCTACTTGATCTCAGCCTTCTATACTTTCATAGCTGAGAATGTCAGAGAAAGAAGTAGGCGCCATGGACTTCCTGCTTTCTCTAAATTAACCTTTAGTAACCTTCATTGATTAATGATTTTTTTTTCCACCTTGTTATTTTTGTTGGAGTGAAATTCCAGAATGCATGGTCATATCATTGAGCATTGCCACTGACAGTGGGTGGTTAATTAGAACCAAACAAAAAACAGGGTTTGCAGGAAATATACTGGAAACACCTTACCCATTATAAGTGGGTAAAACTCTAAAAAGCCTTTGAAAACTGGAGGAAAGAGAATGACAGGTGTTCTAAATAATCACGTGTGTTAAGTCTTATAGGAATTATCTTTTCCTAATAGTAATGAAGACTATGGGTTGAGTCCCAAGTAGTTGTTTATGTTAGCGTGGCAGTTAGCTTGTAGCTGGGGATATTTACATCTTATTTTATCTTGTAGTAGACAAACTGTGTAAGCAAAAGTTGCCATAAAGACAAAATGAAGCCAGTAGAGTCGTCATTCCTTTTATGTCTTATAGCATTTCAATTTGAAAAGTACTAACTCGTATTTATGACTGTTTCTTTTGACATATTTTCTTTTGTGTACAAGTTGTACAAATACTTGATACTTACAACAAACACCAAATAGTGTTTTAATTCCTGTTCTAAGGAATATATTTTACTTATCTGGTTGTTTATTTGCATGTGGAAAACTAAAACACATAGTTAACACAGGATGGAACAAAAATGTCCTTTAATGCTTATTACTGTCATCATTTAACTCTTCTGTTATACAAAATTACTTTGTATGTAGTAGGAGTTAATATTTGACAAAATTTTGGAAAAAAATTATTTATACTAATAATGACAGATGTTTCTTTATCTAATTCCCACTTTAGACTTGTGTCCGAGACAGAGCAATTCGTTCCATTCTGGCTGTTAGAAAAGTTAGCAAAGAAACAGCAGAAAAAGCTGTGGATGAAGTTTTTGATGCTTGCTTCAATGATCTGGAACCTTTTGGAAGAATCCCGCACAGTAAAAAAGATGCAAAACGTGCTTATAGAGACTTTCAGAACAGAGACCGGTATAATGCTAATTTGTGAAGAAAAATTGTGAAAAATTGTGTTATATCTGATAGTTCTATAACATCTGGAGTTAGAGTCTACGCACACAGTGCTCGTGGAAAGGACAATTCTATCAAATGTATCAATTTTGTAAAATTCTCCAGGAGCCAACTTCCATGAAAGTAAGCAAAGTAAATGAACAAAACTAAAAACCGTGTTTTCCTCACCTGTTACTCCAGCAGGATAATTTAGTACAGCAAATGACTTGTCAAAAATGATTTGCACATTTCAATGCACGTTTAATTCCACTCAGTCTGGTTAGGACTTGGTTTCTGAAAGTTTTGTGGTTACTGAATAAATCTTTTCATAAAATCTTTACATTTCCACCATCTTTGATACACAGTCATAAACTTGGTGATCTTCATCAGTTCGTTTTAGAAGATGGGCAACTGAACTATGGTTCTTAGGTCTAGATTTAATAACTATGGCTAAACTCAAAATTTAATAAACTACCACATTTTTTTGAGCATCTCCTGAAATTCTTGGAATTCTAGCTCATCTAATATTAACTTTACACATACACAAAACCCTTTGGCTTTTTAGGAATTTAACTGACAATTCTGCTTATCCAATCAAACCTACAAGCTGGATAAGCATTAGTGAGAATCTGTCCACCAGGCTGAGCTTTACTTAAAATGCTGGTGTAGCTTGTGGTCATCTTCCCATACTTGCTAGGTAGGTAAGTCCATTTGAGGAACATAAGAAGCTGCTAGCTTCATGTTAAGGCTGAGAGAAGCTGTCTCGTTTCTCCAATATTTCAATATATAAGGTATAATCATTCCAGAGATTAAAGAGAACCATGGTTTCTTTTGTTTCTTGAAATTAAAGGTGTGATTCAACCATAGGTATGGTTCACTGACATAATGGAGATCTGGGTTCCCAGTCAAAGGCTTGTAGGTATAGCTGCTGTACAGTTACTGGATCTAGACTCAAGTGGGAAATTTAGTTCCACAAAAGATTAAATAGTGCCCTGGTTGTTACTATTTCATACAAAGTGCAAAACATTTCAGACAGGCTTTCAACTTCATAGGATGTCAAGGTCTGAGTAGTGGTGGTAGTGTCAGTTTTCCTGTGTGAAGTTGTTCACAACTGCAGAAGCATAGAATTGCTGAGGTTGGAAGGGACTGCTGGAGACACTACTGTTACAACCACACTGCACAGAGGAGGGTCAACTAAAGGTTGCTGAGGAGCGTGTCTGGTTGCGTTTTGGATATCTCCAACGATAAATGCTGCAGCCTCTCAGGATAACCTATTCCTGTGTTTGATCACCCTTGCAGCTTTGTTTTGGTTGGTTTGGGTTTTTTAATCCTTGTGTGTAAATGGAGTTTCCTGTATTTTACTTCGTACCAATTTCCTCTTGTCCTTTCCTTGGGAACCACTGAGAAGACTCTAATTCACTCTTTTCTACTTCCACTCTTGCCTCATCAGGTATTAATGCACATCGTTAAAATCTCCCTGAACTTTCTCTTCTCGAGGCTGAAGAGTCACAGCTTTTGGTCTTTTTGTAGGTTGGATGTTCCAATCCATTTATCACCTTTCATCAGTTTGCTGGACTGACTCTACTATGTCCATGTCTTTCATGTACTGGGAAGCCCAGAACTGGACTCCACCAATGCTGAGCAGAGTGGAAAATCACCTCCCTCAACCTGTTGACAGCACTTCTAATGCAGCTCAGGAGGCTATTGGCCTTGTTTACTGTAAGGCTGTGTTGCTTGCATACAACCTGGTGTCCAACAGTGCTGCCAGGGCCTTTCCTGCCAACCTTCTTTCCACCTAGCTGATCAGTCCATGCTGTGTGCTGGTACCTGTGGTTATTCCTCCCCAAGTGCAGGACTTGGCACATCCCTTTGAACTTTTTGGTACTCCTCTCTGCCACATTGGGGTGTCTCCGAATGGCAGCACAAACCTCTGAAGTATCAACCACTTCCCCCCAGTGTTGTATTGTCTATAAAATTACAGAAGTTGCACTACTCCTGTATTCCAGGTTGTTAATGAGGTGGTTAAACAGCATTGGCCCTGATGCCAGTATCTGGAGCACATCAGTAATGTCTAGCCTTACTGTGTGTAAGCCCCAGACATGGTTAAAGAATCAACACTGGACTTGGGAACATCTCAGCTGGATAGTTTGCATACATGCACTCTGGACATTTAAATAGTTTGAAAATATCAATGTGAATTGTTCTGTTCACTTTCTTTAAGTGTCAGAAAAGCATTCCTGGCATGTTAATTTACTGCTGTAGGTGTAATGATAGGTCAAGTACCAGGAACTTGGGTCCTAAGCACATGGATCTGCCAGTCATGTTTTGTTCAGGCTGAATTCAGTCAGACAAAAAAAGCCTGCTCTGCTACTTGTTGAGCTAAAACTGACTGGAAATAGCAGTAGAATACCACCTGCTGCCTGAACAGGCTTAGGCAGCTTGTAAGGTCACCATGCAGATTTGCACTTTTTGACTCAAGAGCTCACACTTAATCAGTTGGAAGAACAGTGGCATATGTACAGGCATTTTATCCATTTTCTGTTTATTGTAAAATGCTAAAGCAGTCCTGGGAGACCTGGCACCCAGGTACTCATGCATCCACTCCCAAAAGAATGTCCCTGTCACAGGACCACAGTTTTGTTGTTCTGCTATTGCTCTCATTGGTGCTGTACATTTTGCTTTCTTCAGTTCTCTTTATCAACGAGGTTTGGAAAGAAAGCAAGCTAAACTGGATGAGAGTGGAAGTGGTGACTCCATAGATATACTGGAAGAGGGAATTTAAGTCATGGTACAAGGTTGAACAGTTACAGTTGTGGTTAATTTAAGTGGGGAATTAGAAAATGGTACATAAACATCTGAAGAGTAAAAGTATTCTAAATAAGACAAAGAACAAGGAATATGCATTGTTTATACTGAGGATGAAAAATTTAGGGGAAAGATTGATCCCAGAATAAGAAATGTTAAGTGCTTTAGTATTCTAAAAAGGATGAACTAAAACTCGGTGGTTGTGTGTTCACATTTATTTGCTTTTTACTTTTACCAGGATTTCTTCTGGTTGTTGGCAAAGTTTGTAAAGGAAAGGGCTATTCTGGCTCTTTCATCCTCTGCACCCCCCAAAATGTGTAACTTTGGTTTCCCATTCTTCACTGCCCTTCCTTGTAGCACTGGGGAGGCCATAGTGATAGGCTGAGTAAGGCTGAGTTAGGACGAGCTGATGGATTTGACATCTTAAACCCTTATAGTACTATCATGGTGTATTTTACTCATATGCTTAAGGTTAAACTAATCTCCAAAACTGGGATCAGAAAGGAAATTTCCCTTGATTAATTTCGTAGGGATAACTGGTATTTTTGCTGAGCAGCTGGATGCTTCTTCAAGCTGTTCAGGCACTAGTGCACAGCTTTATGTTTGCAGCCTCTGCATGAAGAGTCCTGTGTGACACGTCCAGTGCTGAGCTGAGCTGTGACGGTGGCAAGGCTGGGTGAGTCTGGTCCTCGGAAATGAGATGTGAAGCCAGCAATTATGGCTGTACAGTGAGAGCTGCCCTGCACACTGGAGTGGTAGCAGGGAGTTAGGCCCTGAGTAAGGAGTTAGGTCACTCCTGAGTCCGGAGTGACCACTGGGACTGAGTGGCCAGTGAGAGAGGCAGACCTGGAAGGAGCAGCCATCTGAGTTGCCTGAGAATTTCATGTTGAGTGATGGTCCTTTTCGTTGCAGGGATGAAGGTAATTGGCATGACCTCATATGCTTTCTCTCTCTTGACTGTGGTACATTCCAGCTGGGATGTTGGCCATTTTACTGTAGGTCTAAGATTTATCAGCAATGGGAAAGCTTTTATGACTTGAGTCCTTTATGCCCTGAACTGCTGCTTGTGTTCTGATTGTCTCTGGTGATGGAGGACTGAGTATGATGATCAGTGTTGCCTTCTGCTGTTCTGTGTCCCTATATGTTTTGTGTCAACAGAATGTCCAGTGTATGAAGCTTTTTCAGGCAATACATAACTGTGAAATTTGGCAGTGGTAGGGCAGCAGACTCTTTTGAGACTTGAGCAGGAGTGGGGCACTGAACTGCTCAGGTAAGGGAAGGTCAGGACATTCACAATTTTCAAGTGCCTGACAAGCACTAAGGCTGGAAGGAGAAGGTCTTCCCAAAGGCATCCAGAATTAGTCAGCCTTAGAGCTTTTGTTTGACTGCAGCTTTGGGCTCCTGCAATCCACCTATTTATTTCACACACCTACAACCTTTTGGATCCAGCAGTCACTCTGTAATTTCCTCTTGAGAAGAATTCACTCATGTAAGTATTCTCCAGCCCAACAGGCCTTCTCCTAAGGTGTCACTCAGGAACAAGCTATATGAAGAAGGTAATAGCAAAGACAGATGCTTCCCATGTCCCCTGAGCTGAGCAGCAGCGTGTCGCCATTTCCTGAGCAGCAGGAAACACTTTGGAAAGATTCATACATAAGCACTGTCCTCACAAAGGACAAAGCAACACATCCAAGCAGTGCATGAGAGATCTGATCAAGCCCGACTTGTTTGTTCGTGTTGGAATATGGGTGGATTGGATTTATTCCCAGGTGTAGCATAAGTCATACTGACAGGTACCATTGTTTCTGGGGCTCAGCATTAATGCAGATCCCTCAGAAAGTCATCCTCATTGGAAATAACATCTTGGCCAAGATTCCCCAAACCTGTGCTTTCAATAGTTTTGCAGAATTTCAGATGGAGATTTCATAATCTTATTTTCTTGGGGTAATTCCATCAGTGACTGACATAATCACATGGCTGAATATCCAATCAGAAAAAAATGGATATAATACACTACATAGCTATGGAGAAAATTACACATTGAATTCTAAGCTTCCCATCTTTGATATAATCTAGGAAGACCTTCTGGGTTTTCTAAAATCCCCTGAGGATCAGAGATGACTTGGAACAGCTTAATCTTGTATGTTAATATTCTCTTAACCTTTACTGTTTTTCTAATCCCCATTTTAGTCAGTATGATGTACGATGCCGACTTCTTTATAATACTGCTTGCACATACTCTGACAGATAATTCCTTCTCTTCATTATACCTTATTTACCAAATTTCTACTTTAATGAATGTGTGTTTGTGTGTTTTGCATTTATATTGCATTTTGACCAACACACTGAATATATACATTTGTCTGCTATCTAGGACAAACTTTGTCAAGTCTACTTGGAAATGGAAAATACAGTGATAAAGACTAGAATATGCAAGCGT